GGTCCTGTCTAGTTGAACATACCACCTAACAAAATAACTCGTAAGATTATCTTAAAAAACATGCATTAACAATTTTTCATTATTAGCATAAACAGTCATTTTTTAACAGTATATAATAATATGGATCTTCGAAGACTTTGTACCATCATACTTTTCAAACTCTGAAACTTTGAGCTTTGAAATAATAATGACATCCAGCACCAAACAGAACCTAGCAGCATTTACAGAACCATAAAAATTGATTATATCTATGGCTCACAACCTTTCCTCTAACAAGTTTATCTTTTATTTAGCTTTTGAGCCTTTTAAAATTTCCTTCCTCTTAGGCCACAGCTTCTCTTTCTCTTATGGATTATCCAAGTTAGGGATTGATACTGTCTTTTCAATAAAGATAAAATTTACATAGCTCTTGTACTACCTAGGTTTGAAGCTGATGACATTCTAAGATATGTATACCTTACCAGATATGTGAATTGCTGTAGTGGTGGGTCTTGTGTGAATTGGGTTTGATACGATCCAAAACCAAAAAGGTACAAAAAGTTATCCATCTCTTGTGATAGATGGTCTTACTGGCTAGTTTTTCTTTTTTTGCCTTTGTTTAACTTATTCAAGGTATCCAAAATCTTATTCAATTCTCCCTTCTAACTTCTCTTTAGTTTTTTCTATCCTCTTGAGATGATTGAAATTTTTTTGTTCCATTTGTCTAGCTCAAGCTATTGTATTATATTAATGAGTTGATTGTGTGAGATTCTTGGTTGGTGATGCTACCCTTGAATCTTGAATACCACAATTATGATAAAAAAATAATATGTTTTATGTAATGTGCATAACATACATTTTCATGAATGTAAGTATAAGATCTTATTTATAAATAACTACTATGTGATTAATATTCTCTATATAAAAATGATGCAAATGCACAATACTAAATATGATAATGAAGATGATGCATGATATGATAATACAAATGCACAAAGTCAAATAATCAAAATGATTAGATCATATATCACACAAATTATTATTTCTTATGTTCTAATTTCGGGTTATATCTATCACTGGGTAAGAATGACTTTATCTCAAAAGTGGTCTATTAAGTGTTGATTATATACAGGGTTAGGTGATTTTGACCACTAAAGGTTCCTAAATTGTTCATTACATCATTGTACATCACAGACTAGTAATGCATTCCAATCATTATCCATCACAAGCTACTAACGAAAGGATTCAATTTGAGAAGAAGTATTTTGCTAGCCATTGCGAAGATTATCATCTCATGTGAGCGTAAATGCTTTACTTCCTCTTAAAATAGAGAAAGCCCGGGTATAAAGCTCATATAATGTAAATGCATTTGATAGTGTGTGTGAATGAACATAAAATTTTCAACCCCATAAATAAAATACAAGACAAAAAGGAAAAAAACATTAGTAAACAAACAAAAAACATAATCATTACATTTTAAAACCATTAGATCCAAGAATAGGATAAATTTAAAAATTATGGCTTAACTCTCTAACCTCTCTAGTTGAGTCGTCAAACTGTCATAACATATAGATCCAAAAATCTATAACTAGACTTAATAAATGAAGTCACCACCAATCTTTTTTTTACTAAGTACGATCGGTTACCAAATGACTCTATCCTTTTAAGTAGCTTCTAAGCTTAACTAAAAATTCTTAAAAGAATAGATTCAAGTCTACTAACCAAAATATGACTCAAGAGTTCGTTTATATACGAGGAAGGTTATAACACCTCCACATGCCCATCCAAAAAATGAAACCAGTTTATTTTAAATTTATTCTAAAGTTTTGATTTTAATGGTTTTAAATTTTAATGTTCAAATGTTAAAAATAATTCTTAAGACTCTTCATCAATCAAACAAAATTCTTAAAAATATTTTTTCACTTAGAGAGTATTTAAAAATCTCGTTTGTTTTCCTAAAAAGGCTCCTTCATAGGAAAAAATGTTTAATTATTTTTTATTTTTTATTTTGATTGAAAATATATCTAATTATTCTACCACTTAGGCCAAATTATTTTTTTTTAATTTTTAAATTTTTCACAATTTAGGCCTATTTAAAAAAAAATTTTGTTTTTTATCTTTGAAAAAAAAATAATATGACAATTATTTTCTTGAAATTTCATTTAAATTCTTCTACCATTTAGGATAAATTTAAAAAATTTCTCACCTAAATAGACCTTAGAAATTTACTATTTGAAATTTTTAAGATTTTCATCCTTAGATAATAATCAAATATTTTCAACCAAAATTCTTTATTTAGAAAAGAATACAATTACTTTTATTAAAAATTTCATCTAAATTATTCTGTCATTTAAGATAAATTTAAAGAAATTTCTCACCTAAAAATTTCTTAAAAATTTACCATTTAAAATTTTTAAGAATCTCATCCTTGGATAATTTATATTTAACTCCAAAATTTTTATTAGTATTTTTATTTTTTCATTTTTGGTTTTTTTGTATTGAAAATAAATATTTATTGAAATTTTTTCTAAATTATTCTACCATTTAAGACAAATTTTAAAAAAAAATTCACTTAAAAATTTTATAGAAATTCACCATTTAAAATTTTTAAAAATTTTATCTTTGAAAAATTATTATTTATTCTCAAAAAATATTTTATTAATGTCTTATTTTATTTATTTCTTTTAATTTTTCATAAAATCCAAACATGCAAACTATTTCAAAAATAAAAATAAATAAATAAACTAAAAAATACAAAAAAAAATGCTCGACTTGGTTTACGCGTGGCTTAGCTTAGTTGTAAATACAAAAGAGTTCCAGGATGAGGCTAAATGGCTTATGGAATAGCTTGACTCAGCTCAACCCCAAAGCCAAGGAAACAAGTTGTCGTGTAGGTCACGCTACAAGTCAAATTACGCACTTAAAAACACGCGGATCTTGCTCCTATTTAATATCCAAAACGACGTCGTTTTATGTGGCTATAAAACCCAAAGGTCAGCCTTTTTTTTTCATACCTCACCTTCCACTTTTCTCTTTTCTTTTCTTTTCTCTCCCTCTCCTTCTAGAACCCAGATTGAAAACTTCAAAGGGTTTCAGATCCCAACACTGACGTCATCGTGATCTGCCATCATTCGATGATTGATCAAGCCAAAATTTTCCCTATCGCTACTTCTTGTTTTCTTCGTCTCAAATATGGCTGGTTTTTTCAAAAATCATTTTCTAAAGGTGTATATCAGAAGTTCAAGCCTCGGGTTTTTCCTTCTTTGTTCCAACCTCTTCCGTCGAATTTTCTCTAACTTTCAATATATTATTTCTCCCGTCCAACTCCTCGCCTTCACTGTTTAGATCTCTCAAAAGTAGTGTCGATCGTTATCTGTCACCGTACCACTAATGGTAGGTTTCTAGTTTTCCCTTTTGCTCCTCTTATTTTCCATTTTGTTTGATTCTTCGCTTTTCATTTATGATCTCTTTTGGTTTCTAATTTTGCTTCGGTTCTGAATTAGTGTTGACTTAGCTAACTGACGAAGGGCGACTATCTAACGAGAAACTGATGATGGTGGTAGGTCCTGATTCCTGTAACAAGCAATTATTGTGGATGTTTCGACTTGGGTGAATTATTAACTCTACTGTTTGTTAGTTGTGCTTCAATGTCTAATCGTTTAGGGAAATTGGACGATATAGGTAAGGATTATCTTTTGTATGTGGCTTTGGGTGTACTAGCCCTCGTGTGATTATTGAACTATTAAGAATTGGTTGGTAGTGATCTAATTAAGAATTAAGGATGAGCTGGCTTCATCCCGTTCCTCCTTTGACTTTTTTGTATATTACAACTTGAATCACTGTATGCATTTTTCTTGTGTGATTTTTCTCTGATCCCCTGCCATTTCCATTGTTGATAAATTGCAAAGAGTTTTAGATCAATTTCGATTAGTCTCACAAAGTTATATATTAGCACATAATCTCATGCTTTCTGATAACAATCATCACCTAACCTAATTTAAAACTTTTAGCCTTTTATTTATTAATCAGATAATGAAGAAGAAAAAATAAATAAATAAACTAGAGATAAGCCACAAAATAAAGTTCAAAATAAAAATGAATAAAAATCTCACAATCAAGCTTGGATCTTGCTCAACTGAAGAAAAAATCATGGACAAAATAAGATGTCTACATGATTAATTACATTATAATCGTATATAAGATATGCTTTTTTATATTTACAATAATAATTATATTTTTAATTTATGATTAATATTTATTCAAATTATATTTATTTTTAATTAATTTTTATTTAATTTAAAATTATTAATTTTTTTTTTGAAGTTACATTTATAATCATGAATCAATAAATATAATATTGAATAATCAATTAAAAATTATAATTTAACTAAATGATTCATATGCAATTAAACTTAAACTTAAAATCTCATAATTTTAAAATTTTTTCTTGCCATTAAATCAAGATCTTATTAATTAAAAATTATTAAATTTTAATTATAAATTTAATTAAAAATACAATATCCACCTTTAAATAAAATAATTAAAACTTTTTAAACAAAGAAGATCATCTTTCCTTACAATCTTTTCCTGGGTAAAATCCCTACTCCCTAGCACTTAACTTTGAAATTAATAAGCTACTGCCATCGGTTATCCCCATAAAGAGGTTTAAAAATTGTTTAAGGTGATCTTTGATATGCCATGATATTTTTAAATTATGTTGATTATCATGTTTAGTAAGAATTCACTCGTGATGGATAGAATAAAATAATAATTATTTTATATTACATTTGATTTATATTTAAAAAAGAAAAAAGATATGATTATAAAGAAAATTAATCACTCTTTTGGTAAAAGATGATTCAATCATCTCAGAGTAAAAAAAATTATTTTTAATTCATGGACTTGAATTTAAATATTTTATTATACCTTTAAAAATTATATTAATAATTTAAATTATATAAGTTTTAAAAAAAATAATTTTGATCAATAAGTAAATTATCTTATCTTAATTCTTACACACATCAAAAGTAAAATAGAGAGATTATTTAATTTAATTTTATTTATAATATTATCTAATCATATGCTATCATAATCTTGTAAACCAAACGTATGTTTATATTCTTATATTCTTATCCTCAAGTTTTGCCTCAACTGTACAATGTTAAGAACGCACCCCTTGTATGATCCTCAAGTTTTGCCTGAGCTTTCAGGGCAATCTTAAGAGCACACCCTTATGTGACAACCCACCATCTATTCCCCATCCCAGCCTCCGCTGGTATATAGGCACCCATTAAATGCTACCCAAAACTTATTTTCTTTACATCCACCCATTAAATGGTCATTGTGCCTATTGCTGGAAATTGGAATGCTAAACGTAATTGATCATGGCTTTACTATGATCATTCCTACAACTGAATCTATAGGAACGACGACCATAAAACAGGACCACAAAGTTATGCATATGATCTTTCCTTTACTCATCTGTTCTTTGGTTTCCTTTGTTTGTTCAGCAATAAAGATGCTACAGATGTTTTCTGCCCTGACATTTCAACAGCTGAGACTAATGCTGTCTAAACAAGAATTTCTGTCCCTTTTTTTTTATGCATTTGGGTTCATATGAAGTGCAGGTACCTGTAACTGATCATGAAGTGGTGGTGATTATGTTGACTAAATCCAGAAACCCGGCATGCAGTAATGCTTTAGTCCAGCTTTTTGATACAGTGTTCATGAAGTGTAAAAGATACTATGAATACTTATAGTGGTATGCAATTCAACTTTATACAATTTCCTAAACAGCAATAACTCAGTGGAAAAGGAAATAGTTGCAACAAAAAAAGTTTTAAAAAAATGTGAGGGGAAGAATCTTACTATGCTGTAGGCAAGAGTAGATAACCAGAGCATCAAAAGTTACCTACAAGAATTTCTACAAGGAACAAAATTACTGTTGACGGCACGGCGGTTACACCTAACTAAAGATTGACAATGGCATCAGCATGTGGTAAGAATTAAGCTTCCAGACATTTGTCAAATATGCCATCATCATCCACACAGAGTAAGCAAGACGAACATCTGCCCATATTAGAAGAAGTGGCAGTCAATGAAACAAGGAAAAGAATCAGGTAAACATCAGCTTGACAAAATAATAGCAGCAACAATAGCAATCAGAACATGATAATTCTCTTAAAAGACATTTTGAAAGATAACACATAACCTATTGCATTCAAATCTTGGAGAGTGAAGTAGGCAGGTTTCTAGACAGAGGAAAAAGGATAAAGGCACATTAATTATAACAAAACGGCAAAGGAAATTCCTAGACTGAAGAAGTGAACAAGAGCCCCTTAAAGCCTGAAGAAGTTTCATGACCAACCTCATTGCTGTGTTTAGTTCCATTACTTAACTATCGACCTATCACTGTGCCTTGTAGGAAAAAGCACATATGAGATGCCATTGCCTGCAATTCAAAATTGAAGTTGGTGCCAAAATTAAAAGCCCCATTGTTATAACATCTTAACAGTTAACACCATCAAAGATATATCAGTATTTTGAAAATTCAAGACTTTGATTGTGTTATTATCAATCATATGTTTTCAAACAAATCAAATTCATTACAAGTTGATAACAGATATCAAAACTAATATAACACCAAAAAGAATACAAAGCCTCTGTTCAGAGAACTAATTCTATGCTAAAAGATCGAACCGAGTCATCAATTAAACCATTTGCGTCGTGCCCTCAGGCTGACATCTTTTCCACATAAACCAAACCTCAGATACAACATTCATTAAAGAAATACTGCCATCTCTCTAGGTTGCATACCCCCTGGTTGAATTGATAAGGATCGAATATTTAGTTTGAACTAAGTGCCATTCCCGCTGCCAGCAATCTCGTGATCTATAAATCTAATTTAAATCCTCGCTGAAGCCTGCAGTATATCCTAACTAAATGTGGTTGCCTCTTTTTTGCGAGAGAAAAAAAAAAAAAACCAATTCCACGCATCAAATAGAATTAACTGACTCAGTGTCCATTATTCTTTTCTAGAAGGAACAGTGACTGCTCTAGAATGATTGGAACTCTCCCAAACCTCAATCCCTCCACATCTTCTCTGCTCACAAACAATCTCTCCCCACCTCCTTCAATTCTCTTTATCATCCCTCTCTTTGCATCCTCCACTTTATCCACATAATTCCTCCTGAAGTACATTTCCTGACTTTGATTTTGACTTTCCGAGGATTGCTGACTTGGAATAACAGTGTCATACCATTCTTTTTCATTCGACCAAACCTCCAGTTCTCCATCTTTCCCCACGAAAACCTGTCTTTTGTAGCAATGTAAGACGACACTGTTTCCGCCATAGCTCGTGTCTCTCATGCTAGGATTTGTGTCTTTCATATATACCCAAGGATCATCCCCCAAGCTACGAATGTCTGCCATTGCCAAATCCCCAGATTTTGAGCATATCTTGAAGAGACTCAAATCATCGACGTCGACATCAACGTCAGCAAATGAATCTCCATACCTGCTGCTCCGGCCTGAACCGGGTTCATTCGTCTCCCAAACCACCTCCCTACTTCTCGGGTCCCACATCCTAATGTAACCGGAGAAACCAAATGCCCCGCAGGTGACAGCACTCCCGATAACCAAACCAGTTGCTGGCAGCCACGTCAGCCTCCCCGCTACTGTGTTCTTCGCGGCAGTTCCTGATTGGCGAGCCAGCTCCGACGAAACCTGGAGCGTTGATTTGTCAATCACGAGGACGCCGTTCTCTCTATGAGGACAATCAAATGACGCAAAGACCGAGTCTGGTGAGTTAGCGATGGCACTGACTCGAGCTTTGTGTATCCGTGGGTCAGCCTGATCGGTCCAACGAACTGAAGCGGTATAGCGTCCGCTGGAAAGGTCGTAGAAGTGCAGGCCAGAGGAGGATTCAGATCCGATGGCGGCTATCTCGGGCCAGACCCGACAAATCGAGGTGATATCATCGAGATGCGTACGTACGGCTGCGGAGTATGATAAGTAGGAATCATATATTGAAATTTGACCACCGTGAGCGATCCAAATTGAACCGTCTTCGCCGGCGGCAAAATGGAAGGCACAGCGTCGGAGGCAGGGCGGATGGTATCGACGACGGCGGCGTCTATGCCACGAAGTGGTGAGGGCGAATAGGCAGATCGGAGGCGAGACTCGACTCCGTAATAAAGAGCCTCGTCGGCGAGTTCCTGGATAGAAAAGCGGCGGAGAGCGGCAGAAGGGAGGCGGTTAGAGCGGAGGAGAGAGAGAAGGACGGAGAAGATTTCGGGATCACGGTCGATGAATATAGGGTTAGAGTCAAGATGTGAGGGGCGGCTGGAGAGAGCGGCAAGGAGGGAATCAGGACCTGCAGATTGGAGGGTCGAGACAGTGGTTTCAAAAAGCTTGCCGCCAACGTTGAGCTTTATGCGGTCGTAAGGAATGGTTGGATTGGAAATTTGGTCAGCCATTGAAGCTCATCAACTGATCAAGTTGAGGGGCCCTTAAAAATCGCAACTTTGTATAGTGCTAGGCAGCAGCTTGGAAGTTAACGAATTCCAAACTACTACTGCTTTTACTTCTTTACGGCATTTTATCAAATAACTTAGAAGCAAGCCCAACATCACCAGATTCAGCAGTTTGATAACCTAGGACTCTAAACGGAAAAGGAAAAGCCCAAGAGTTCCGGTCCATAGGCAAGCGACAAAGTTTGTAATCTATTGGACATTGAGAGTTGAAATGGTAGCAAGATTCCTGATTTTGGCTGCCTGGTATAGCCACACAAACTTCCCACCATAGAAGAATAAAATAAACTTTGATGGAGAAGTGTCGCGGTGTTAAAAAGGAGGCACCGTGAATTGGTAAATAGACTTCGATTTTTATATTGTATAACTGTTCACGTCACCTTCAAATGCGATAAAATCATAAAATTTAATAAATTAAAGTGAATAACATTTTGCAAATCGGTATAACCTATGTCAATAGATTTCAAAACCAACTCCAAAAGTATTAAGGATGTAACACTAAAAACATACATCCTCCTTGGAGTGAAAAAGATTAAAGAGTCACAAATCTCATAATGCTCAAATTCAATTGATTAAAATTCAATTAATTAAAATTCAATCGTATTTGATAAAAAAATTTTGAATTTGAATATTATCAATAACTATTTATTGAAATCATATCGAATACATAATTTATAATCATTTATTTTAAATAATCAGATACGACATATTTTATCATAGTCTAAAAAATTGAACAATCTATCTACGTTAGATTTTGATCCATCCAAAAATACTTATAATATAAATATTCACTTTACTTTTGATTTGTGAGATTTTTTTTAAAATAAAATGGTAAGAGTCAATAAGTAAAAATGAAAAATATTTTGCTCGTTAACATGAAACAAATCAATTATGTCTTACAAAGTAATATGAACCGCGACCAGCATCCATCAAGCATGGATGGATCTGAAAAACAAGAAGTAAAAATAACAATATAATCATATTGCTTAGTGAAATGCTGATTCTGAATAACACAACTTAGCTTCACTCAAAGACAAGACATAAAGCTCCCTGTTTGTTTCTTTACAGTACCGGCTTCAAGCCATATATGATAACCGTTGAACATCTGAAATCTGTACATTCATCTCCAAGGATCATAGAAGTCAGGTTTAATGTGCCAACATCTATAACTATTCCCATAGCACTGTAGATTATATACCGAAAGGTTTGAAATTCAACACCTGTCATTTCCACCACCAAAACTGTCTAAACAAATATGTCTTCCTCATCCGAACATTGTACGTCATGAAGGCTCTTGCTTTGATAGGGTCGGCATTCAAATACTCAAATGCATACATCTGTTTAGCTTCTTCCAGACCATCAATCTCCATAACAGCCACAAGCAATTCAGAGGTATTGATTGTAGTCTTACTCCGCTCCACTGCATCAGCCAACCGCCGAATGCCAGAAGCCAGCGCCAACATTGCCTCCTGAAGAGCATCTGAGCCACGAGGTCGCTTTCGAAGTTGTCTGAGAGGCTCCATTTGAGGAAGGTCTTGGCTACCGTCTTGCAAATACTCCGGTGGCCCAGTATATGACTCCGTTCCATCTGTATCACTTAAGTCATCTGAACTTGGTGATAAGAAAGAAGCAGAATTTTCTTCAAAATTCTTAAACCCAGTTAGATGATTTCCATCCTTCATCTTCGCCCAACGACTAGGCGCTTGATAATTTCCACAAACAATCTTTAGCTCATCATACATCTCAATCTGTTTTCCTCGAAATCCTCTTGCATCAGGATGTGCCTGCTCAATATATTTGTAGCTTAGCAATAGAAACAGTTTTCCCTTGAGAAAAAATGGTACACATCAAGTAACATTAAAAAATATATTAAAAAAAGAAAAAAAAAAAACACAATGGAAGAGTGGAAGAGAATGCAGAACACACTGACCGCTATATATCTTTTCCAAAGATCTTCGCTGTCACATTCGATCATCTTTGCATTCGGATTCCACCTGAATCCATCTTGACTTAGCAAATCCCTCACTACCTTGTACCTTTTCTTAATTGTCTTAAGACGATTAACAACTTTTTGATTGTTCAAGTTTAAATTAAAACGAGAATTCACGGCAATACAAGCAGCAGTATATGCATTTTCATTAAAGCATTTGTCAATTTTATTCCCATTTTTAGCCTGAATGGCCAGAGCTTCAATTAGACACTTGTCCATTGCAATCGACCAAACTACATTTCTTCCTTTATGCTTCATCTCCCTTCTCTGCACCTGCAGGTCATAGTGGTCCATTCGTAATCCAGTAAAAGGAGAAAAGAAAGGTGTTGTCATGCTAAGGTGAAATATAAAACAATGCTCAATAGAAATTAAATATAAGTCAAATTGAGGACTAACTGATATCACAATCATCTAAACAAATAAAAAAAAATGATTATCCAAACACATTTTACTCCAGTTAGAGAATAATAGTTATGTTGTTTTGCCATGTTGAGAGACAATAGAGGACACAACAAAGGCCAAATGGAGAGTCGGATTACATTCCGATCATATAAATAAATAACACAATAACTACTGAACAAATGGCACAATGTCATGTCAAGAAACATTAGTTTGTAGAATAACAACTGAAATCAAGTCCCAAAAAAGCAACTTCATGTAAACCTAGAATCCTAGTTAACACTGATTCCATTAAAGAATGAGTTTCAATGTAAAGCCATAACCTATGCATCATGCAACTTAGGATGTGCCCTAATTTCCCCCTTTCTAGGCCTGCAATCGAGAATGCTCTTAATATCAGGCATTTTATCAGAGCATTCACTACTATAATTGAAAAAGAAATTATAAAGGAAATTAGTTGTCCAACTCGTAATTGGCATACCCTAACTCTTGCTACTTGAAAACTAAATCAGCTTCAGCATAAATTCCTCTGTCAAAGCGCACTTAAATTGAATCAGTTTACCGTTTAAGATAAAAAATATATATATATTTACCTAAACTAGGAAGATTAAGCTCTCACTGAACAAAAAAATGCAGAGTTCTTTCTCAAAAAAAAAAAAATAAAGAAAGGGTTGGTTTTTTATATACTTGATGTAATATAAGAATAGGTGATTACAAGAATACCACGTGAAACTATCCCCACTAGAGTTTAGACCCTTGTATTTTCAAAATGCATAACACTGTTCCAACATGCCATATAGAGTATGATACAAGAAGCACAAGTCCATATGTTAAAGGAGAAATTTGATGTGAAACAAATAAAGGGGACAAAATATTTATTAACTAGCTCTTACCAGGTCAAATACTAAATGCCAGAGCAGGATGGTTAGGCCAAGATCCAACTCTTAAGTGGTTCAACTGTAAGGCCAGACCAATCAAGGGGCAAGTTTACCAACCAACCTGATAACACAGTTACCAACAACAGAAGCTCACTCACAAACCCAACTCATTACCCTGCACTTTAACTATTCTTCTTGCTTAATGAAATATGTAACCACCATCCAATAAAATTCAACTCCTTAATTGCATCTGCTCCATTGAAAAGAAAGCCCTTAAATTCCTCTCACATGTAATTTATCTCATTTAAATAAAATATCCAGATAGGAAGAGTGGGCTAAAAACTTAAGTATTGATCTCCATCATGGTAAAAACATATAAGATCACTGATCAGTGCTACACCACAATACCCTCTTTCTTACCTCACTTCATATTAGCTTAATCATCCTCCTTGATTCCCATGTTCATGGTGGTAAAAGGCAGGAGTATAAAAGGTCAAGGTTTCATGGTGGACAGAGGAAGGACATAGAATGAGCTGGAGGAAGTCCCTAACCAACTCTTGTCCTCCCCAACCTCCAAAATATGCACGAATACTTAAGATCTCTGACTGCTGGCAATAATAATCTCCAATAAAACAGTACATATCATCAACTATATCAATCATCATATCTATAGAAACGCTTTTAATAAGTAATTACATGTTCTAAAGGATTAGACACTCCTTTCATACAGACAGAATTCAGCTACCCCATGTTAAAAGAACATAGAACTTAACAAGAAAGAGACGTTTCAGATTTTGGAAACACTAGTGTGAAAAAGTGTTAGATTTTTTTGGGCTTAACCATTATGCCAGATTTTATATGCCAAAAGCTGCACATGTCAAACCCTTGGACCATATCAGCATCTGAGATCCAAATTCCATACATGCTTGGAACATATAAGAGAACATAATTACACCAAAGCAAACTTCCAAAAATACAGAAGTTAAATTAAAACAATATACATGCACACATCAGATAACACTCAATTTAACCCCAAACAGGTTTTGGAAGAGCTCTTCCCTACACCATGTTTAACACAAGACGCATTTTCACAAATAGCCAATTCCAAGGGTTTCCAGTAATCACCATCAGCAAACTCTGTTAATATCATACTGAAAACCAAAAGAAAACTATAGTGATGAAAAGAAAAAGGGAAGATAATTAGAAGGAAGAATTTTAGTCACTCAACAACACATAGGTGAATTCTATGGAACCAATACTAAGTCATTCTTTGAAAGCAATGCCATGGATGCTATGCAATACCAGTTTTGCACAACATAAGAATTGACTTGAACAAAAATCATTAACTTGTCCTAGGGCAAGCTGTTGCCCACCAAAGACATAAATTTAATCAACTTGAGCACGATCTCTCCAAAAACTAAGTTTATTTAACCTAATGCTCAGCAAGAGATTTATATAGGAACTGAGCTAACTTGTAAGAGGTAACAATCCCATCCCAGTATCTAAGTTCATTAAAAAACAAGACAACTTCTCAATCTTTCAATGCTTTCGCCCCAACAAAATTGGCATGGCTAAATCCCATACTAACCAAGCTCAGCACCTAACTTTCACACAAAGACAGGCATTTAGATATCAACATTGTGCCATTAATTTCAGCTACCAATTCCTAAATTACTCTAAGCTCTTTACTAAAATTCATCAAAATAAAACAAACCCATTGCTCCTCCAATTAAAAATAAGCAACCAACAAGTGAATAAACACAAAATAATCCACCAAAAACCTTGAAGAAAAAAAATCAAATTATTAATGGTTTACACTTCATAAAAGTAAGCAAATAAACAGATAAAAGAATAGATAAAAGAGAAAGACAGAGAAAGAAAGAAACCTTAGAATCGTGATAAAGAGTAGTAGGTAAAAGTAACAATCTCCCGCCGGTGAGAAACCTGATATAATCGCCGGGAGAGACGAAAAACGACGTCACTAGAGGGATGCTATACGCGTTAAGTAAATGTGACGGTGCATTGGGGCACCTTATTTTTTGTTAGGGTTTGCCTTTTGAACCTTTTTTCTGTAGTTTTTCCCTTTTAATTATTTCTCGAGGGAAAAAAATAAGAGGGAACGGGGTCAACAATTTTCTCCAGGGGTGGCACTTTCTCGCAGACCAAACGTGTGTCGAGAAAAGTTCAGGTATTGGTAATAACTTTTTGCTATAGTGAACCAGGAATTTGTCAGAAGGATGTGAAGGTCCTTTCACAATCTTCCACGTTAGTCCAAATTTGGCAACGCGGTTGTCCAACTTTGTTTCTTGCATTATTTCTTTTTCTCTCGAATAATTAATTGATTAAATTATATAAAACTAATTGGTGAAATTATATAAAGATATAATTTAAGTCGCAAAAAATTTTTCATTTTTACTTGCTTTTTATCTTTCCTATCAAATAAAATCTTTATCTTAATTGTTAATCACTAATTTGTCAATCACTTGTTCGCGAAGTTAAGATTAGATATTCAAGTCTTTATCAATTAATTAGTCAAATGCCATTAAAAAAAAAAAACCAATTTACTAATTTTTTGTCTTTATTTTTGAAAAAAAAAAAAAAGGTAAAATGCAAAAAAAGCTATCAAATAGGCAATCTTTCTTAATTCACAGCTAAGAAAAAGAGAAAATATTGTGACACAATACTTTCATTACTTATAAACAAATTATAATTGATTGTTCATTTATGTCGTCTATGGAGATATCATTCTTATAATGAACTTGATTTTAATTTTATTAGGATTTTTAAGAAAAATTTCATTGGATTAATACTCATGGCATTCCCGAATAAAGAGAATTTATAGATTAATTTTTGGTTAATTAAATAATTACTACAAATTTGTCTATATTGATTTTATGAAATTTAGAAAAGAAAATTGTTTGGTTTTAATATATTTTAAATTAAAATTTTAAAATATTGTTATAGAACTGATATATATTTCATACTTTTTAATATCGAAAGTAAAAAAAGAAAAAATCTCATGACAAATAATTTTGGGATATAAAAAGTATATTAGGTGTTCCAAAAAAAAAAACCCTTCGGTGTGCACAATGATCCACTGACTGAAAAGACTACCCAAGCCATTGGTTCAGCTCAAGGTGTATGGGTGTCAACAGGCCAAGAGGTGCTTGACTTGGGTGGTTTCCATGGATTTTGGATTCACTCAAGGTGACTTCAATGGCAGTTCCATCAGTCTGTTCTCAAGGAATCCAATTTCAGAGAAGGAACTTGAGCTTGCTGTGGTTGGAGAGAGAGGGAAATTCGGTATGGCTTAAGGGTTTGCTAAGCTTAAGACTTGTAATTATCTTGAGATTTTACTAAGGGCTATGACATTGTTTACTCCAACCATTGGACTAAAATGTTGTTTTCTATAATTGTTTCGAAAGGCAATTTGGCAGTTATTTGGTGAAAAGCAAGAACATGAAGTAACATGTGGGATGTGACACCCCATTCAAACCTTCAGGATGTAAATAGTTGGGATCCAATCATTATAGGGAATGACACGCAAGGGAACAACACAAATCAAGAAACAAATATGTCTTGCTTGCAGAGTTAACAACCTATGCAGATTATAACATTCCATGCTATTCAGATTCTTAACTATCATTTCTAAATGTTTTAAAAGTTGAAACCAAACAACAACATAACAGATTGATGCATTGATTAGTTAAAGACTGCAAAAGAGGCAAACTAATATAATGATAATCTTCTCACAACTTCAGCCACTGTCATAAAAAGGAAAATTGCATCCTAAAAACCTTGACTAAATCATTTGTGTTCCTCATTACATTGCATTCATTATAAGATCTGCCTAAAACTCCTCCCTTCGCTTGTTGAGCTTTAAAGGCATCTTGACTATTCCACATAACCTTTCCTACATTAAAAACATCTTATGAAAACATAATACAAACGGATACATTATATAACTCTATTTCAGTTTTCCTCACCAATGCAACTGTGCTGAAGAACCCAAATTCATTGTAAAACCCAAACAAGAGTGTCAACACATCAATTTCATGAGCACATGATTCACATTATAATGCTATTTTCCCAAAGGAATAATACATATTGATAGAAAGGAACATAAATTTAATTATGTAAATAAAAAATGCAGATATATCATGATAATATCAATTTTTGGCTAGAAGCTAACCTCCAATCACATGATCCTTTTTTATAGACAAATCCCAAAACAAAACAATAACCAGTCATGTGACATAATGTGGTGCTCTAGCAGCCATACTAGCAATCTGAGCCTGCATTTGAGCTGCCCTAACTTTAGCTGCGGTTGCCTTATGAAAGAACTGCTCCCTTGACAGCAACCTCACATTTCTCAAATACTGATCAAACGGCACAGCCCCTTCTTGCACTGCTTTATCCAACGAATAAACCACATCCTCAATAGCTAAATCGGCAGCTGTGCAATCCAACATTTGCTTGGAAAGCACGTCAACACAATGAAAGGCCTCATCAACATCAACATTACTCTCCCCTAAGTTCTTAGTTTTCCCTTCATTATCTCTAACCCAACTATCCAACACATCGGTATTCATCAACACAACCTGTAACTGCTGTTCTAAACCTTCTTTTTCATCTTGCATCTCTTTCAACCCTTTATTAATCTCTTCCTCTCGCCTTCTTAACACCGCTTGAGCTGAAAACAACCCTTCCATTTCAACCTCCCTAGCTTTTCTCATCCCACTTATATCGCCATGAACCACCTCCACCAACTTATTCACCGCATTCCTCTTATAAACCTCCGCGGCATCCTCCGTCTGTGAAGGAGGAGGATACGGCGGCTGTACCCTCCCATAAGGCGAAGGAGGATACCCTGACGCAGCGGCAGCCACCCTCGGCGGTGGGTGCGACTGCCCATAGCTAGAATTCATGGAGGAATTAATAGAAGGGTTAGGGCTGAGATTGGGGTTTGGGTTAGGACTGGGACGACGTTGGGAATAAAGCGGGGGATCACGAGAAAAAACAGAGCTTAAATTAACGACCAAATCAACAAGATTAGAACTTGGATAAATCCAATTTTGCAAATAAGGGATCGAAACTAACCCCGACGGAGTAACGTGAGGATGGTGGCGTTTGATGACCATGTCGCGCGTGGGATTCACGTAGACAACGGGAGGGTAACGAGGGTAAGATTCCATGAGCCAGATTATGATCGGGATGTTGTAAGTGACACCTTGGTAAGCCATGGGGATGGTGCCATCGACTTGGAGGAGGTTAACGGATCGTCCGTCGTTGTGAGTGAAAGTGGCGGTTTTGGGTTCGAGGGAAGGACAGTGGGAGATGAGGGAAAGGAGGTGTTGGCGGATTAGCCATTTGGTGTCTTCGGTGTAAGGGAGGGAGGAAGGGCCGCGTTGGGAAAGGACTGAGGAGAGGAATTGTTGGATTTGTTGGGGGTTCGGCGGCGGTATTGACGGTGTTGGAACCATTGGACGGTGGAGGGTTTGGATATGGATTTGGAAAGGAAGAGGAAAGAAATGAGAGACTTGTGTTTTAGGATTGCTTAACAGAGATGCTTTGCGCGTACGGGGGACCTTGGGGATCCTTCCTCTTTGGATGAGTTTTTTTTTTTTTTTTTAAATATAATATTGATTGAAAATGTATGATTTGAAAATTATGAAAGATTATGATTTTTGAAATTGGAATATACTCCATTTCCATCTGTCCAATGTTTATTATTGCGTATTTGATTTTTAATTTTTTATAGAAATAAATTTTCATAATTTTATATTAAATTTTTAATTTTTAATTTAACATCATATTTTAAAAAATAAAATTTAAAAATTAAATTTGTTTGATAAAAAATTAAACTATGAAGTATGAACTAATAAGATTGGACAAAACGAATATTAAATAATAATATTAATAATAATGACTAAAAAGATGTGAGAGAAAGAGATGAAAATCTCATCCGAACATTTACAATATTGTGAGTGTTTTTTTTTCTAAATTATAATAATACATGATTGTATGTCTTAAAAGAATAAAGTTAAAATATTTTTATTTATTTATTTATTTATTTTTGGTGTTAAAAAAATTTAGGTGATGAGAAGTTATAAACTTCTTTCAGATTAATGTTTTTCACTGATTGCTAGCACTTTTCACAGAATAAAAAGCTACATGGAAGATTTCCATATTAGCTATTGCATTCAAGAGGTTTTGGTTGCCTTTTGGTCAGGATAACTACCATGGAAAACCCCATATTGAAAACTAATGGATTAATGTCATGAATGAAATGTTACATATGGTATTTAAACTTTAAGAATTTTCAAAAGTAATATCTGAATCGTGAATTTGTTAACTAATATGATATTTAAAAGATTATTTGTCTGTCACATATTTAAAACTAAATATCACGTTAATTAAGAAATTTATAATTCAGATATCATATTAAAGATTTTTAAAGTTTAGATATGCTATTAATAAACATTAACCCAAAACTAATCTAAGATTTTGCTAAATACATATGGGTCTGCTTGTGCAGTAAGGGCAAGGACCAGCCAGTTATCCTGACCTATATTTTCTCCCTATTGCCCCTCCTTGTTCTAATCAGTTTTCAAAAGATGAATATAAATATACATATACAATCTCAGAATTCAAAGCATATATACCTTCTCTGTAGCAAGACTCATAGGAAATATGGGTCCAATTCATGACTGTTTTGGCATCCTCGGCATTTAGTACAGTCCCTACCTGCAATTTTTGTAGCAGCTTCAAAACCAATGCAGAAAAATTATTTGATCAATTAATCCATTACTGGAAACTTTCTAGAGTCTAAGTTAACAACAATCAGCTTATCAACTATCCTTGTAATGGTCTGCTAATATGTGACTATACTAGAAAACTTTCTGCTAGTATATACTACTAATCTATGAAATAATAAGAGTCAAAAAGGAAGGGCTGGTAAGCATTGAGCAAAAGAACAGCTATACTTTCTCAATAAAATTGATTTGGAACTCATAGAATGACTGACTAGTTTTATTGTTCCACAATTGATTAATATATACAAAATAATGGATATAAAACTAAAATGATTTCCTTCATAAAAGGAAAAATGAAGAAATCTTTCCCACTATTGAAAAGAAAGGGGATGGTATAATAATGGTTAGATTGAAGTAGTTTCTTTTTCCAAATTAAACATTCAAGCATAAGGTCATATGGAAAGAACAAGCTTTGATAGGAGATGACAAAAACATAAGATGTTGCTCCATAAAGCGGATTGGGATGGCTTTCCAAATTCAGGCTTAATACTCAGGATGAGATGAACCAAGAAAAATTGATCCAAAATCTCATGTATTTCTATGTTCAGGGCCCTGTTTCTCAGAAATTTCCAATTCCAAGAATAGGCGGTGAATCAGCTCTCAAGTGTGAATAATCATGCAAAGACTATTTCACCAACAAAAACCTCTGCATGAGCTGTCAAGAATCAGGTCTGTAGAAAGACAATTTCACCAATAATCTCCACAAGAACAGGTTCCGTTCTTGAAGTGGTGAAACCGCTGCATATCTCGCACTATGATTTCCCGCCCGGTCACAAGTGAAATGTATTTAGTTGCATTATGACAATCACCACAAACTCTCAGGTTTTTTCTGATGTGTATGGGGGTGCCTTGGCTGGTATTCAAAAGCCCGAATGCAATGGCTAGCCTCTCACTATGGGTGCTGTTTAACTGCTCCTTAACATCATCCTCTACATCATGAATTGAGCTTGTGTCAGGCACATAACCTGCGGCTTTGATCTTATCTCCAAGCTCCTCAAGGAAAGCATAGATCTTTTTAGACTGAGGATGGTTTGTGGTTCCAGAGTAAAAACTGTGAACTTCATTTCTCAACTCCACTAAACTGCAGCCAGGTGTTTTCTGAAGCCCTTTCTTCTTCATCACAGTTCTAACTTTGGCCACTTTGCCCCACATTGAAGCCATTGCATATATGTTAGCAAGCAGTACATGATACCCACCTTCATCAGGATTTAATGCAAACAGTTTGTTTGCTGCCTTCTCACCTAACTCAACATTTTTATGGATTTTGCAAGCACCCAGCATGGCACCATAGACATTCATCTCTGGCTCAATAGGCATCTTTTGAATGAAATTCCATGCTTCATCTAGCCGACCAGCTCGACCAAGAAGGTCAACCATGGCACCATAGTGATCCATAGCAGGCTCTATGCCATAATCTCTCTTCATGCTGGTAAAGTAGCTAAGCCCCTCTTCCACCATACCTGCATGGCTGCAAGCAGAGAGAATACTTAGAAATGTGACATCATTTGGCTTAATGGCACCCTTTTGCATTTCATAAAACAATTCTAAAGCAGCTTTTCCAAGCCCATGTGTTCCATAACCATCTATCATAGCATTCCATGTAGTCACATGCCGCTCATTCATCATATCAAAAAGCTTCCTGGCAGTGTGAATTGCTCCACACTTTGCATACATGTCAACCAGTGCGGTCATCACAAAAACGTCATCATCCAAACAACTTCTTATACAAAATCCATGAATCCACTTTGCCATGCGTGTAACTGATAATTCCGCCAAAGCTGGAATCACACTCACCATTGTAAATGTATCCGGTCTTATGTTTTGAGAATGCATCTTGTAAAAATAGCTTAAAGCATCATTAACGCGTCCATTTTGCGCAAAGCCTAGAATCATAGCATTCCAAGAAACAAGGGTTTTACCATGCAATTTTTTGAAAATACCAGCAGCAACGTCAACACTCTTACATTTAGAGAACATGGAAATCAAAGAGTTCATAACAGAAACATTGGAACCAAGTTTCAATTTTTCGGATAACTTATGAACAAACATTCCACGCTCAAGATCACCCAAATCAGAACAAGCATGAGCAGCTTTCATTATAGTAACATCAGTAGGTTCCACTCCTTCATCCAACATCTTCTGAAAAATAACCATCGCTTCCTCGGCATATCCACTTTGAACATAACCATCGATCATTGAGTTCCATGACACAGCAGTCCTCTGTTTCATCCCATCAAAAATCAATCTCCCAATTCCAACAAACCTGCATTTCGAATACATATCAACCAATGCAGTATTCACATTCACAAGCCCTTCAAAACCAGCCCTTATAACAAAACCATGAACTGCCTTCCCTATCTTAACCAGCCCCATATCAGCCACAGCAGGCAAAATCGAAACAAGGGTAATCGAATCAGGCCTTTGTCCTTCCTCTTGCATCCTAACAACTAATCCCAAGGCAATTTTAGCTAAACCATTCTGTGCGAAGCCAGAAATAATCGTATTCCAAGAAACCAAATCTCTTTCAGGCATTCTGTCAAACATCTTATAAGATTCCTCAATTTGTCTACATTTCGCATACAAATTAACAACTCCAGTCATGGCAAAGACATTTGAAGAAAACCCATTTTTTATCAACTGCCCATGAATCTCCTTACCCCTTCTAAGCTCAGCTTTATCCCCACAAACTTTCAAGAGGTAAGTAAAGTTATAAACAACAGGCTTAACATTATCAACCTTCATTCTAATAAAAAACGACAAAGCTTCGTCTAGTGATGAGTTCTTGGCATACCCTTTAAGCAAAGTGTAATAAAGAACTTCTGGTTTATCTTGGATGGGTTCGAAAACACGGGCAGCTTCGGCAACGCAGCCGTGGTTACAGAAAAGGCTTAGGAGTTTGGTTTGGAAAAAGTGCTCATTGTAGAGATTGGATTTGATTATGTGGGGAAGGATTTGGTAGACTTCTTTAATGGAAGTTGAGAGTTCTAAAAGGATGGCTGTTGGGTGTTTGTAAACGTGGAGAGGGATTTGGGTTCTTTGAGAGAGAGTGTGGGAGTGGGGTTTTGGGGTTAGGCTGCTTGTGAGAGGAGGAGAAGCAGTTATGAGCTGAGAGCTCATGGCTGTTTTGTCTTCGTCACATTCCCATGTCGAGTGTACTGTAAATGTATTAAGACTTCCTTTTTCTTTGAAGCTTATGGCTTCTTCAAATGGGAGGACTGCAACCGGATAGGAGTTGGAGGGTTTTTTTTTTTTTTTTTATTGCGCGTGGCAACTGGTAATTGGGCCGAAGAAAGAGAAGCACGGAACAAGCAAATTTGAGAGACAAGGGGTAAATTTACGTGAATGATTTAAATTTATCATAATCTTTTCATTAGTATAATTAGTACATGGTGCTTTAAATATTTTTTATTTTAAAATATAAATTTTTTAATTTTTTATATTAATAAAATTTATAATTATTTAGCTTATTTCATCATTTAGTTTTAATTATTTTTAATAAAATCTCACATGTTAAATTTTATAAAACAACGATAAAAATATTTTAATAATTTAATATGTGATTAACTTTATATTATATTAAAATTTAGTCCGTAATTTAATAAAAATATTATAGTAATTTTGAAATAAAATATTACTTGTCAACTTCATGTGAAACACTCATAAGAATATTTATGTAATTATGATATAAGAAGCATTATCAAATTTGTGGTAAGAAGCATATTTTCGTAAATATGATGTAAAGGATATTATAATAATTTTGATCAATTATGATATATGAGTGTTTTCTTTATGATAAAAAAAAACATTATAAAATTTTTGGTTACTTATAGTAAAAGTCTTTCCGTTCTTATTGTAGGAGGGTATTATAATAATTTTGATTAATTATAAAAAAGGGACATTTTCATAATTATGGTAGAAATGTATAATAGTAAATTTGAATACGTGTCAACATAATATCAAATAAACAAAGGGCTGTTATAGTAATTTTTATAGGAATTATTTTAATTATTTAACATTTAAAAAGTAATTTAATAGGGGTATTGTAGTAAATTTTAAACAAAATTTCACATGTCAAATTTTTATGAAGTAATGACAAAGATATTTTAGTAATTTAATATGTCGTTAATTTTATATTATATTAAAATTTCACATGTAAATTAATAAGGGTATTATCATAATTTTTAAATAAAATGTCACATGTCAAATTTTTATAAAGCAATGGTAAAAATATTTTAATAATTTAATATGCATTTAATTTTATATTATATTAATTTAATATATAATTTAATAAATGTATTATAGTAATTTTGAAAAAAAAATGCCATATGTCAACTTTCAATGAAGTACTCATAAAAACATTTTTATAATTATAATATAATAAGTATTATAATAATTTTTAGTCAATTTTGGTAATGGTATTTTTGTAATTTTGGTAGAAAAATGTATTATAGTAATTTTAGCTAATTGTTGTAGGATATGTGTTTCTGTAATTATTGTATAATGGTATTATAGTAATTTTAACTAATTATGAGAATATGAGATTTTCATAATTATCATAGAAAGGCATTATAGTAAATTTGGGTATGTGTCAATGTTATATCAAATAAATAAAAAGGCGTTATAATAATTTTTATGTCACTTAATATATGTTATTTAATATTTAATAAGTAATTTAACAAGATTATTATAGTAAATTTCAAACAAAATTTCACATGTCAAATTTTTATGAATCAATGATGAAGGTATTTTACTAATTTAATAAGTAGTTAGTTTTATATTATAATAAAATTTCATAAGTAATTTAATAAGGGTATTATAGTAATTTTAAAATAAAATGTTGCATGTCAAATTTTTATAAAGTAATGGCAAGGTTATTTTAATAATTTAATATGTGATTAAATTTATAGTATGTTAAATGTTGATATAATTTAATAGAGGTATTATAATAATTTTGAAAAAAAAGAAAAACCAAATGTCAACTTTTTATAAAATACTCATAAAAACATTTTCATAATTATGATATGAAAAGTAGAATAGTAATTTTTGGCTAATTATGATAGAGGTATTTTCATAATTTTTGTAAGAGAGGCATTATAATAATTTTAGTTAATTATAGTAGAATAAGTATTTTTGTAAGGAAATTCTATTTGCACCATCGTTTTTACTTTATAAACCTTACTTTTTTTTCAAAATTTTTTATAAATGAAATTACAAAAATACACTTCTCACAAATTTTATAACTTCTTGGAAATAAATTTTTGATAATCATAACACTTCTAGAAATATATTTCTCGATAAGTCATAACACTTCTAAGAAATATATTTCCGAGAAACCATAACACTTCTTATAAATGTATTTTAAAAAGTGCTAGAACTTAGAAGTGAAATTTTATAAAAAAAATTACAAAAAAAATTTATTAAAATTATTTGTAGATAAATTAATGAAAAAAATTATTATTAAAAAAGAATAATAAATATTTTTATTAATTATTAAAATTTTATAATTGTTTTAATTAAACTAAATTCCTTGGATAAGTATCTCTATCTACTTCTCACAATAGATTTCTTCAATTAGCATGTTAGATTTTGACAAAATTATATAGTATTTAATAATATTACTGTTTATTTATTCATAAGCATGCAATGTTAGTTAAGAAAATCTTCAATTTTGAATTAATTCTAATTCTTCAACACATTTTCCATTGATTCCCAAATTCGTATAAGATCAAAAATATGGTAAATGATTTTTTTCTATTTTTCCTACTCTTTAAAACATCGTAAAAATATCGTAACAAGCATATAATCATCATATTTATGGATATTGTGCACTTCTAAATCAAAATAGTAAAAATAATTTTTTTATTAATTTTAAATTTTTTAATTTTTTAATTATAATTTTTTTACACTAATTTATAAATACTGTTACCAAATTTTTTTTTTTGTAATTTTTTATAAAATTTCATATTTCCAAATGCTTTTTTGAAAAGTGTTATGACTTATCGAAAATACATTTCTAAGAAGTGTTATGATTTTATGAAAATTTATTTTCAAAAAGTGTTATAACTTTTTGAAATACTAAATATCCGAAAACTTGTAAGAATGATATTTAAATAATTTCACTTACAAAAAATTTTGAAAAAAAAAAAGTAAGGGTGTATAAAGTAAGAACGAGGTTGCATTTAGAACTCTCATTTCTGTAATTATTGAAAAATGATATTATAATAATTTTAACTAATTATAAGATGATAAGTATTTTCATAATTATTGTAGAAAGCCATTGTACTAAATTTGAACATGTGAAGATGTCATATCAAATAACTAAAAGGCTATAATAGCAATTATTAAGGGGATTGCTTTAATATATGTTATTAATTTTGAAATTAAATGACACATGTCTGTAAACACCGATTTTGTTCGGATCTACTATTAAAATTAAAATAATAATAATAATATATTTTTTAAAAAAATAATTAAAAAAAGGAAAAAACAAAAAACAAAAAGTAGAGGGCTGGTACGACGCCACTACTGCCCCAATCTAGCCCCCTCTACAACTTACCCAGCCCACCTACAGCCTACCCCTATAGCCACTATACAGCCACCACCTATTCCCCTTTTGAAACTCCTTAAAAACCCCCCAGCTTCTTTCCCTCAACACCTCCTCTCGAACACACCAAGAGCTTACCCTTCATCAATGCCCAGCCCCCTTTCAACTAGCTCAGTCTCCATACTAGCATCCCAATCCGAGCCTCAACCCTTACCAAACCCATACCCATACCCAAACAGAAACATAAAAATAGAAACAAAAAACAAAGACAAACAGTCATCCCTGTATGGAGGAACCTCAGTGCCAGAAAGTACTCTAAACAAGCAATGAAATCATCAGTTTCTTTTAAAAAAAAAAAAAAGAAAGAGAAAGGAGACCAAAAGCTTTAAGCCCTAATCTACGCTGATCGAGGCTTTTTTTGGCAAAACAAACGTTGGATCTGAAAAGAGGGCATAAAGGTGAATGACTGGGAGTCTTTTTGGTGTTTTTCGTTGACTGACGACAACCACCGGTGGCAGTCAACACCGTGGCTGGTGAGGCGACAAGAATGCCGGCGGTCGAATGTCGACGGAGTCCACAAAGCTATCCTAGAGCTCTGAAAAAAAATTTTTTTGGCAAAAAAGATGAAATGAAACAAAAAAAAAAGTTGACTTTTATATAAAAGCCAAAGTAGCAAAACGACGTCGTTTTGCTTAAGGAGAATATCCACACGTATACCCGGATCTGACCCGGGATCCGTACAACTTGACCCACGACCGCTTTTACCTCAGCTCAAAATCGATCCATTTGAATCGGTATCGAACTGATAGTGAACCGGTCCAATTGGTCTGAACCGTTTGATCACCCGAACCATAGATTGAACCGTCGAACCGGTCCAGACCAGCTTTGATCGGACCGTTGACAGGTCCAGTTCAAGTAAAAAATATTTTTTTAAAATTTTTTAATTTTTTTATATATTATTATTTTTGTTATTTTGAGTTTTTTTTAATATATTTATGCATGATAAATTTTTAAATTTGTTAAAATAAATATTTGATTATTTTTATTAATAATAAAATGACAATAAAATAGGGTAATAACCAAAAAAAAATCTTAAAAATATTTTTAAAAAATGATAATAATAATCTAAAAATTAATAAAAAAAATTTTATTTTATTTTCCCTGCCTAGATGTTGGAGGGAATAAAAACACACTTTTAAAAATAATTTCGCCTAGATGTTGGGGAATTGTTATAAAAAAATTATAAAAATTATTAAAAAATAAAAAAGGTAATAATAATAATAATAAATTTTCATAAAAAAAAAAAGAAATATATAAGAAATTTTTAATTAAAGTTTAAAAATTATGAAAATTGAACTTGTTTCAAAATTATGCCTAGATATTGGAGATTTTTAGAGATATTCGTGTTTTCTTTAAACCCTAAAATTAAATCCTAAAACCAAAACTTTAAACCTTAAACCTTAAAATCAAATCCCTAAAACATCAAAACCCTAAATTTCAAAACCTTAACCTTTAAAACCTCAGCTTAAGCTCTAACCAAAACTATCTCAAAATCCTAAGGACACGTGCGAAAATTTTAAATGGAGTAATTTGTTTTCGAATGCTGCCTAGATGATGGAGTATTTAAAGAAATCTTATTCCATTAAGTTTTTCTCATAAGTCCTTAATTCGCTTTAATAATGGGGTTAGTAATTGTTTAATAAAAA